ATCTGATTCCTATGCATACCATCAGGTGAAATCCATGTGTATAACCTGCATTTATGTTTCTTATAAAACGTATTTGCAATGAATAAGTCATTGATTGTACAAAATTGAATCATTGTATCTCCAGCTTCATTTCTGTCAGCAAGCCCATGTTTTCCAACTACTGATTCTTCTCTCTTCCCAACTCTAGCCAGACTTGTCACCATAAATTGTGAGTTCTCAGCCTTATGTTATCTTTTGTTCCCTTTTTTCTTTATTAATTCTTTGTCTCTACTCTTTCCCTGATCTCAAGCTAGGTACTTTTCCTGTCCTGACCAAGGACTGGGTTCAGGATTTTGAGCATATACATGTACTTGGAAATAGCACTATAACAGGAGCTGAGAACCTAGGTTCTAGTTCAGAATTTGCATGATTTTGTTGAATATATTTAATAGCTTTGAGCCTTGGATTTCTCATATGAAATTAAAGATACCGTCTCCCATATTTCCTCTGCTTCTAAAATACTGCATATCTTAAACTAAAATACTGAGATTGCTTATACTGTCAGCAATAAAAACTGAGCTTTGAATGACTTAATCAAAAAGGTGTCTCTGTAAGGGATGCTTCTACTTTAGAAAGCTCAGCTCTGCTTCTCCAACTTATGTATCACTCCCCTATTCTTGTTTCCTTTTTTCAGATCTGCAGAGTCCTGGAATCCTCCCAGTCTCCGACCCTGAATTTAACACCCATCCCAAGCACCCATCCTGACCTCCAAGCCTATCTTCAAGGCAATACTCAGGTCTCTCGAAAAAAACTTCTGCCTCTGCTCCAGGAATCCTTGTCAGCATACTTGGATTCTGGGAAGATCCCTGAAGGACAGCCTGAAATAGTGGGCGTGTCCAGGGAGCCGGTGGACAAGGAAATGAGCAGGGCAGGTAACTCCCTGATTTCTGGAATGAGTCAAGATGATGAAGACCCTCCACTACCCCCTACGCCCATGAACAGCTTGGTGGATGAATGCCCCCTGGACCAGGGGCTCCCGAAGTTCTCAGCTGAGGCTGTCTTTGAGAAGTGCAGCCAGATCTCACTGTCACGGTCAACCACTGCCTCCCATTCAAAGAAGTAAGGGGAGGAGGGAGTGGGGAAGCTTGCTTCACCCACTTCAAATGCATGTTTTGAGATATTTGGAGATTTCAACAGTTCTATCTTCATTGCTCCAGGATCTGGTGTCCTGTTCTTACAAAGTCAAGAGGAAGAAGTGAAAGAAAGCAACTGTTTTAAGAACCACTTTCTACCTTCCCCCAATCTCTACCAATCAGACAGATTATATATTATTTAATATTATTCTTTAAATTTGCACTGACTTTTTTCTATTTCATATGCCACGGGCACAATGTGATACATATACAGTGCCAACAAAGTGGGAAAGAATGCATATACCCAAATGTGCCCTCAGCATGAATCCTGAACAGAACCAATGTCATGGAGCCATACAATCATTGTTGATCTCCATTGTATTCATTTATTCATGTACTCATTCAACTATTTATTGAACACCTACTTGAAGCTGCATAGAAAATAGAATGTTGTTGGAGATCCTTGCTTCAGATTTCAACTGTTAGCAGATTTCCAGTTCACACCTCCTCTTTCAGCCCTCAGTAAAGTAATAATGTTTGACTGAGAGATGGTTTACTTCCGTTTCCGAACTTTTACTGTGACTGTTTGGGTCTTGTTTGGTAGCAGATTGGAGGCCATTGTCTTCCATCCTGATCAGGTGGCCTGATTGTCAGTTTCCTCACTCACTCTGCCCTGGGGCCACAGGAACCTTGAAGACCCTGGTTCATGAGAGTGTAGCAGGCACCCAGAAAGGCCATTAGTCATCAGAAGCACTCTTCCCAGAAGACAGCAGAACTGGAATAAACCCTGGCTCTGGCTCCTGCCATAGCAGGTCTATCAGTCTTTTGTCTCTTTCTCTTCTTATGTATATTTAAAGAAAGCATGGAGTAACCAGATTCTAATATTGACTGCTGTGAATTCTGTGTCTTTTAACAGGACACTTTGGTTCTGTGGATGTCACTCTCTTCATCTGTAAAGTTAAGGGTTTGAATTAGATAGTCTCTGGTATTCTGTGATCTGCTGTCATTCTCTCTCCTGCTTCTCTGTGTTTTTCTTCTGTCTTCCCTGGGAATGAGCAGGGAGACTGGATTTGTCTGTATTTATGTGTGATCGTACCACAGGACTTGACCTTGGCCTCGTGTAGCATGTACAGGGTTGTGATTCAGACTGTAGTGACCTAGCAGAGAGCTCTCCCCCACTGACTTGTTCTGCATGTGTAAAGTCTTCTGTTTTTCTTCAGATGAAGTCATTTCCCCTCTACTTACCCCCCCAGCTGTATTCCATGTAAACCACCAACAACTTACCTGAACATTGGTCTGCGTGATGGTCTGGGCATGATGTCTTCCACTGTGAGGGGGACAGTCTAGGTTCACTTTGAGGGGATGATGTCTGTAGCTGTTTGGAAGGGAGAAATAGTAGTATAATCACTGAACCAAAGGAATTTATGTTTTGTAACTTGGGTACTTTATTTTTCATTTTGTTAAAGTATTAAAATTCATTTTTCCGGTTTAGAGTCTTATTGTCTCGTTTTACACCTGTAATAAGGCCTTTCCCTCCATTAATTGTTCCAGCTTCCTAAAAATTCACACCCCCTCTTCCTGATATACTTCATGTCTTCCTTCTCGTAAACCCCTTTCAGGAATAAGGAGCATCAAGTTTCATCTTCTCATTCTCAGCCTTTAAACTTGTTTTATTCTTCCAGAACTCTCCTTATAATTCTCCTAGATTTTGCTTATGCTTGAAAAATAGACCTAAGATAGTCTTAAAGCCAAAATGGTTTCTGCTGTGCCAGCTTTTTTATATAAAAAGCTGCTTCCAGAAGGTTATAAGGGATCTGGAAAGGAGAACAAATTGCCTTCCTAGACTTCCCCAAGCCTCACCATCCTAGGAAATGTACTCTCCTCCCCATAACCCGCCCCCACACAGAGGCCGGGTTTTCTCCTGGGCATGCCTGCTTCTTGGGAGGGGTGCTGGCAGAACCTGTTTGAAGATGAATTTACCTTCCTTCCACACCTCCTCCTTTGGAGGCAACAGAAACAGCAGCTGAGACAGAAAAGGGGTAAAGAAGTATTGGGGAGCTGGGATGACCATCCCAGGTGTTTAAAGGAGACAGGACGACTTGTGAAAATGGGAACTATACAAGAGGCAGCAGAAAGGACACTAGATCTTGGGTAAGTACTACATCACTTGATTGAAATAGGAAATGAGTAGATCGTTTGAGGAACTTTCCCACCATCCATCTTTTTGCCAGGTCAAATAATCAAGATTTCTAGAGGAGATGAAACCTTAAAAAATTAATTTGCAATCCACCAGATGCTCTGCTGGGAAAAGGAGGGCAATCTTCTCCTGTGCCAGGTGGATCCAACTTGACAGTACACAACAACAACAAAAAGAATTAATTTGCAGGGAAGGGATGGAGGTAACTGTATGTAAGAGATGACAGTATGGTAAAGGAACTGGAGGACAGAATTCAGAACAGTTTCCTGCTCAACCAAAGGAAAGGGTCTATATTTTATCTAATAAGTCTATCCACCTTTTTATTTTCCAATCCCTACTTTGTGTAATAGCCATCAGGAAGGCTGACCCAGATCTGAGTGTAGGTTCCCCTTCCACCTCTCTGTTTGCCTTTTTTCTCCACCTCTCTGCCTATGCCATGTCTACCCCCAGCCACTCCCCAGCATGGCAGAGGAAAGGCAGGCCTGACAAGGTGCCGTCTTCTCCAGCTCTGCTTGGGAATGGCTGGGCGGGCCTGTCTGGGTCCTAGCCAATTAAGTGGAATACCTCTCACCCGTACTTTGTAGGTGGAGAAACTGCCATGGAAGTAAATACTAGTTTCACATTCTATTTTTCCTTTGCTTCTAAACCCAGAAGTAGGAGTGATTGGCTTTCAACAAGTGATAAAGATGAGAGAAGCATCTGCCAAGGGAATAAGAGATCTGAGTTTACGTTTTACTCATTTATCAAGGCCACCTCTCTACTCTGCACCCTAATTCCATTGAGCCAATGCCTCTAGGTTATCTCATGTTAATCCTTTCTTTTGGGGGCACTATCTTAGGGTCAGGGATAATGCAGAAGCTGCAGAACTAGGAGCAACCCTGAGACTTGAGGAACTGGAGTTGAAAGAAGAATGGCAGGATGAAGAATTCCCCCGGTGAGGAAGTGTGAGGAGGGAGGCTGGAGAAAGAAGGGATGGTCACAAGTGGAGGGCAGAGATCATGCGTCAGGACTTGGAGGAAAAGAGGAGGAGGAAGTCCTAGGGAATAGAATTCATAAACTGATCTCTGGTTTGATGCCATCAGCCTATATACCTCTGCCCCTTTTTAATTACTTCCTCTTTAGATTGCTTTCTGAAGAGGTTGGTCCTTCTGAAGACCCTAAAGGAGACTCACAGTCAGGTAGGTGAAGTAGAAACTAGGCCTTAAGTTCATTGGTTTTGGTCCAAGAAAGTCTTTGCGACACTATCAGTTTTGCAGTACCACTTCGTCTTTCCTGATTGTCCCTTGTTCATCCTTTTTCAGAGTTCACCTCAGTCTCACTACTTTTCACATACAAGAATTCTAATTGTGTCCATTTGTATTCACCCCTAATTACCATCCATCTTTCTATTTTTTCCCCCTCAAAATGGACCAATCACAGGTCAATATCCCAGCACTCTATCCCTGTGTGGCCAGCGCCCCATGCGTAAGCGGCTGTCTGCCCCAGAGTTGCAGCTGGATCTGACTAAAGGGCCTGGAAATAATGGAACTTCTCCCATCCATTCTGCACCTTCCTCTGATGGCAGTTCTGACCTACAAGTAGACGAATTGGAGACACCTTCAGACTCGGAGCAGCTGGACAGTGGACATGAATTTGAATGGGAAGGTGGGAAGCAAATCTGAGGACTGAACTGGGAAAAGTAGAGGCCAGTGTTGAAAGCCAGGTTGGCTTTGACGGAACTAAGGTTAGAATTACCACTGGTGGCCTAGTGTTTCACTGCTAAACCCAACCCACCAACAGCTCGGTGAAAAAAAGATGGGCAGCTTTCTCCCACGTGATTTATAGCCTCTGAAAATCCATTGGAAGGCCAGCAATGAATGAGTTCCAACTCTACAAAAATGAGGGGTTTTTCTTTTTTTTTCTGAATTGGAACAGATGAAAGGAATATATGATCATAACATTGAATATATGAGAACAGTTTGGAACAAGGAGGATATTGTGGAAGAATGAGTTTTTTCCATGTTAAGGCTAGAATTAAGGATCCCTGGAGGTGGAGGCTGCAGTGAGCTGCATTAACTTTTTTTTTTAATATAGTGTGTGTGTGTGTGTGTGTGTGTGTGTGTGTGTGTACCGTCAAATCAGATCTGATTAGTATAGGAAAAGATTGTTCCTCCCCCTCCAGCAGAGCATCTGGTGGATTCGGAAAGCACGCCTCTGAAATTGCAGTGCAGAGTTGCACTAACGCTTAAGGCTGCACCTACCCCCGTGGTTTGAAACCACCAGCAGCTCCTCAGGAGAAAGGTGGGCAGTCTCCTTCCAGTCTGATTTACAGCTTCAGAAACTTGATGGAGGGTCGCTGTGAGTCAGAGTGGACTTGACAATAGTGAATGAGTGAAGATTAGAACATGGTGAGGACCAAGAGATACCAGTCAACAAGATCAATTTCCTTAGAAGGGAAAAGTAGAGCTTGTAGAAGTACTGTGAGAGCAGTCAGTGGGGAAAGGGGGATCCTTTGTTTGTTAAGAAAAACTACTGAAAACTGTTACATGTTATCCCTGAGCTGGAACTGGGGTTATAAATACAAGTAACTGTCCAGAGAATTCTCAAATTAGTAGGGAATAAACACATAGACAATTAAATGCATGTAAGGGTTACTATCTACATTTGTATAGGATACAGTACAGCATGGAGAAGAAAACGGGCAGTCCTACCCCAAAGGTATCAGACGCTTCACAGAAGAAGTGCAGTATTGAAAGTTGATGTTTATCAGGTGGTTGGAGAATGGGCATACTAGATAAAAACATTTCAAGCAATAGGATGGCATGTTGGGGAATTGAAAGTGTCAAGCAACTATTTAGACGCGAAGGATTGAGAGAGAGGAAATGACAAAAAATAGTGCTAGCATAAGTTGTTATTCTGAGCCGTGGAGTCAATTAGGACTCATCGTGACCCTTTTCTGAACTTTGCTCTATCCTGAGCCAACCTCACCATCTCCGACACACTTGACCCCATTGCTTCAGTCACTCTATCAATCCATCTTATTAAGGGTCTTCTCCTATACTTACCCCCCATATTTCCGAGCATGATGTCCTTCTCCAAGGACTGGCCTCCCATAGCAACATGCTCACAGTATGTGAGGTGGAGTTTCACCATCCTTGCCTCCAAGGAGCACCCTGGTTGCACTTTGTGCAGAACAGACCTGTTTGTTCTTTTGACAGTCCATAGGATATTCAGTACTCTTGTCCAGCACCACAACTCAAAGGCATTGGTTCTTCTTCTGCCATCCTTGGTCATTGTTCAGCTTTCAGATGCATAGCAAGCAGTTGAAAAGGCCATGGCTTAGATAAAGTACATTTTAGTCTTTAGACTGACCTTGTTGCTCCTTAGCACTCAGGAGAGGTCCTTCGTAGCAGATTTTCCCAATGCAGCCCACCTTTTGATTTCCTGGCTGCTGGTGCTGCAGGAAAATAATGGAGATGCTCGTTACCTTGTTAAAAATCCATTTCATTCAGATTTGTGTCTTATACAATAGAGAATCATGGGAAAATTTTTATTACATTTTAACAAAACCAAATTTTATGGCTTTTTCAAAAGTGGAAGCAACCTAATGCCCCATCTGAAAACCTCACTGCCTTCAAGTCAATTCTAACTCATAGTGACACACACATACCCCGTTGGGTTTCTATGGCTGTAAATCTCTAAGAGAAGAATCTGCTCATCTTGATCCTACAGAAAAACTGGTGGATTTGAGCCACCTTGTAGTTAACAGACCAATATGTCATGCTCTAACCCACTAAGGTTCTTTAAAGACCCGTTACTCATTGCCTTTGAATCAGACTGATTCTTAGCTGTCCCTCCAGCAGGTTTTCAGAGGGTGTAAAGCACATGGGCCAACCTGCACTTCCGGCACTTCTCTGTTGTGCTGTTCCAGTCGTTTCTGTATAATTTTCAGCAGAATCTTGTTTGCATGTGGTATCAATGATATTGTTCAATAATTTCCATATTCTGTTGGGTCACCTTTCTTTGGAATGGGAACAAATATAGATCTCTTCCAGTCAGTTAGCCAAGTGGTTGTTCTCCAGATTTCTTAACACAACTTGGTGAGCACATCCAGGGCAGCATCTGTTAGTTTAAATACATCAGTTGATATACCATCAATTCCTGGCGCCTTATTTTTTGCCAATTCCTTCAAAGCAGCTTGAACTTCTTCCTTCATCACCATAGGCTCTTGCTCATATGTGTTTCATGAAATTCTCCTGTGTCTGTCAATTTCTTTCGGTACAGTGACTGTATACTCTTTCCATCTTCTCTTAATGCATCCTGTATAATTTCATATTCTGCCCAAAGTATCCTTAAGTATAGCAACTCGAGGTTTGAATTTGTTGTTCAGTTCCTTGAGCTTAAGATATGCTGAGCAAGTTTGGCCCTTTTGATTTTCTGGCTCCAGCTCCTTGCACATATTGTAATATATTACTTTGCCTTCCCGCCCTGCCTCTTGAAATCTACTGTTCAGCTCTTTAATATCTTGAATTCTTCCCTGTGCTTTGGCTTCTTGGCACTCTAGTGCAATATTCAGAGTCTCTT